CCTTGGGCTCTTCTGAAGCCTTTTGAGCCTATGGGGAAAGAGTTCCCCAGTGTTCTCTTGTCTCGATTGAGGCCTGGAGACCTCTGGCATCCCATGTCTTCCTCAGAGCTTCATGAAGTCTTGGCACCTCCCTCTGGGTCCTGAACCCTCAGGAGTCATGATGCTGTTGCTGACCTTGGCTCTTCTTGCCGGTCCTACCTGCAGAGCCCAGAGTGAGTACCTGAGCCTCCCTTGTGGCCTTCACCACCAGTGTCCTGTCCTTGCCATAAGAGTTTCAGAGAGAGGGAGTGGTCCTGAACACTCTTCTCATGCCTCACTTTCCAGATGTCCTGGGGAATAAGGACGGTGACTATTTCTACGTTCGAGGAGAAGACCAGGGGGAACTCAAGGGCGTGCGGATCTTCCTAAGTCTTTTAAAGTTCATCAAAGGGTGAGCAGGGCTTCCTTGCAGGAATTGCGGGTTGTACCCACCTCACATTGGAGCCCTTAGAGGACTTCCTGGCTTCACCCCCACCCCAATATTACCCAGTATCCTCTTGACCTCTGCTTCTCCAGCTTGATCTGAGCTAGCCTACTCAGGACTGTAATACCCAGGCTTGATTAAGACTGGACAGTCCTCAGAGACACAGGTGGAGAGGGACCTCCAACTTTCTTGTTCAGAAAGAATCATAGAGGCTTGAGGAGTCCCTCTTCCAGGTGGTTCTGGTGGCTTTAGTGCCTCTTGGTAGTGACAGAAACTGATCAAGGGTCTGAGAGGTCTTCACAGGGCGTAAATTGAGAGTTCGCTTCGTCACTCTGAACCTTTGATTCACTCCAGAAAGGTGGTCATTCCCTTTGGACAGGCCAGGTCTTGACTGGCCTCCTCAGTGTCTGACTCTTGAGATCTGTTCTCCTAGATTGTCACTAAGACCTTTGTTACTATTTCCCAACTTGGTAAATGCAAACACAGTCCCCCAAGATTAATAGAATTTCAGAGGAACAATGAATATTCTTTTAGTATGTCTTCTGTGCAATATTGAGGTTATCTTAATTCTTAAAACCTTTGATGTTGGGTGAATGGGGAGAAGGCTCGGTGGATAAAGTGTTTGCTGTGTGAGTGTGAGGCCCTAAGTTTGGATGCCCAGAACCCATGTGAAAGCCAAGAGCAGCAGCATAGGACTGTACCTCTAAACTGTGTGAGCAGAGATGGGGGGCCTGAACTGCCCACAAGCCAGGGTCTTACTCAAAAGGCAATTCCAGGTTGCCATGGAGACTGCCTAACAACATGAGGGGCATGTCTGGGAAAAAGACAGGGAAAGTAAGAGCGAACATTTGCTCTGCAAACATGAAGGCCTGGGTTCAGATTCCCAGAAGCCATAGAAAAGGAAAAGGTGTCTGGAAGGATGGAGGTGGCTGTCAGGTAAGCACTGGGGTCAGTGACAGGAAGATCCCAGGAGTCCTGGCCAGCCAGTCTAGCTGTAACACAGTCTCCATTCAGTGAGAAACCCTGTCTCCAGGCAATAAGGCATATAGTCATAGAGGAAGACACTGGTGCCCAACTCTAGCCTTTACATGCCCACACATGCATCGCAGACAGACAGACAGACAGACACATGCAGAATACACACACACACACACACACCGTCATCATCATCATCTTCATCATCTTCATCTGCATACTCAGTTCAACACTGACAACATGAAAATACTGTCTTGTTTCCTTCCATGGTGCTGGGAGTTGAACCCATCTCCCACCTCCACTAAGAACTTGCTACATGTGGGCCTAAATGGATGAACATCTATAAATGCATACACATACACGTGCACAAAATGAATAATGAATCAATGTCAAAAATGACCAAACAAACCCTGTAACATGCGGCATAGTGTACTGAATATTACTCGTGGTTATCTGAAATTCTAGTTGTATTGGACATCCTTCCTGCATTCTGTTTCTGATTTGATAAGCATCTTAATTTGCAAGCAAAGAAAGAAGCTGGCATTAGGAACAGTCCGGAAGATTTGGGGTGGTCATGTCACACCTTTGCTCAGTAGGACAGCTTCCAGGGCTCCCCCGTTACCCCTGTTCCTCCCTGACTACACAAGGAGAGAAGAGCTGAGAAGAGCCTGTCTCTCTGGTCTCTGCTCATAAGGTCTGTCTCGGGTATACTGATCTTAGCAGTGTGGCTCCTGCCTCATTTGGGGCTGATAAGGTAGAGGACTCCAGAGGGGGAGCTGTGAGTTGGGTAGAGCCTGCAAAACATTCCAGCTCTGGGTGGGTGCAGTAGCAGACATAGCTGCCCTGGTACAGGTGTCTGACCTGGGCAAGACTCTCTGAGGTCGTTTGAGGAGGGATGTGCCTGGAAGGGGAAGGATCCAGGCTGCCCCATGAGAGCTGGGCACTTCTGGAGACTGAACTGTGAACCAGGAACCAGAATAGATAGGATGCAGATGTGAGAAAAACTGGCGTCCTGAGGTTGTGCTGACTTGATCTCTTTCCAGCATGCAGCTGCAGTTTGGCAATTACTGGAGTGAAGTCTATGGATCCCGGTCACCAAAGTATAGAGAGTTCCTTCTGCAGGACGGAGAGCTCGTGATAAAGGTGGACGGCACTGCAAAGCTCTGCCTGACTTCCCTGAGCTTCACTACAAACAAGGGGCATGTGGCCACCTTTGGTGTTAGGAGGGGCAATTCCTTCAATGACAGTGGAGGTGCAGACAAGTATCTAGTGACTATCAATGGTGTGTATGCACCAGGCCTCTGTATCAGAGGGATGGGCTTCAAATGGGGAAACATCCATGATGACAACCATGGCCATGATGACAATGAGGAAAGAGATGGTGATGACAAAGGTGATGATGATGATGA